ACCTAAAAAACCTCTGAAGTAACCAACTCTCTTCTCCAAGTCACAGAATTACCTGACTGCACCTGTGTGCAGCTGAGGTGTTTCATATGATTTCAGAATAAATACACCTGTGTCTGGGAGCTTCCCCACTTAATGCATTTCCAAGGAAACACTACAGCATGAAGACCAAGAAACATTCCAAGCAGATCCGAGACACGGTTCTTGAAAAATACCATTCAGGGCAAGGGTATAAGAAAATGTCCAAGGCATTGAATATACCTCGAAGCACAGTGAAGTCCATCTTTAAAACGGTGAGAAAATATGGAACAACTTTGAATCTGCCTAGAACTGTCCGTCCTCCAAAACTGAGTGTCCGGGCAAGAACAGCTGTAGTAAGGGAAGCCACCAAGAGGCCTACGGCAACTCTAAAGGAGTTACAGTCCTCCGTGACAGAGATGGGAGAAACTGTGCATGAGACAACAATAGCATGCACACTTCATAAATCTGGGTGGCAGGAAGAAAGCCTTTGTTGAAAAAGCTAATTTCACATCTCGGCTGGAGTTTGCCCAAAGGCATGTGAGAGGAAGATTTTTTGGAGGAAGATTCTATGGTTATGCTCAACTGGATTGATGTCTAGTGGAATGACTAACAAATAGCTGTTTACAAACGGTCCCCATCCAACTTGATGGAGCTTGAGCAATTTTGAAGAGTGGGTAAAAATTCCAGTGTCAAGATCTGCAATGCTGATAGAGACTTACCCAAAAAGACTCACAGCTGTAATTGCCAAGTATTAACTCTGGGGGAGGATGAATACTTATGCATTCATTTCTTTTCTGTTTTTTTTTATTTTTAAATAATGACAAGTAAAATGTCTTGATTTATTTTCACTTTGACATTATAGAATACTTTGTGTTGACAAATGGCAAAAATCCTCAGTTAAATACATCATGGTTCCATACTGTAACACAATAAAAGGTGAAAAAGTCCAAGGGGGGTGAATACTTTTGCAAGGCACTGTAAATAAAAGAACACCGACCAAATTAAATATTCTTCTTTATACCTACAGTAATTAATACTTGACCTTATGTGTAAACTCTGCTGACATGGTTGAAGCAGTAGATGAAACAGTCTGTGTGGGTGCAGAAATAAAACTTTGTTACATATACAGAAACAAGCAGATAAAATGCCGACTGAGCCATCTTCAGTTTTGAACATAATTAATTAAAAGTTAATCAAACTGGGCTATTCTGACCTTTTCAAGCTGTCTGTGTCTCTGGCATCTGTGAGCAGAGCCTTTGTGTCCCAGACTTCTCATGTTGTGAAACGAGATGCTCAGCCAGGTTTCAAAGTGCAGACAGGAAAGTAATACATCTTCATCAAAATCGCCCAGCTGCCACTCCTTGGTCCTCCTGCAATTGCCTTTTTGTTTTAACAGATTTTCTTCTTAATCATCATGTATTCACAAAAAAGAGAAAGGGCACACAGACACAAGGTTTGCCTGAATCTTGCGGTAAATCCATGGAAGGAAATATTTGCTTATTGTATTTTGAAATGGCCTAACTGCTCCTATTGTTCTTGGAGTCCTACAAATAGCCCTCAGTGGAATATTGTTGCCTGTCTAGTGATATTTTACAAGATCTAAATTGTAGGATTTATCCCAGTAGTTTTAGTTCACCTAATGCAAAGTAAGCAAAAAAAGCACTCTAATATGATACTTTTGCAAAAAGAAAAAAATGTTTATGCAGCATGTTGTATGAAGCTACTTCTGTGGTTTGAAATGATAAGTGTAAGACGAAAATATTGATTTGGGCTTGTTCTTCACTGTTAAAGGTATTGATTAAATAATATTGTACTTATTATCTGGGATATTACACTGGCTGGGCTTTCAGTTTAGTTTTGAAAAATTGAGCAGCTGTTTTTCTCCATTTTAAAAATGAGAAAATCGAACACTTAGTGTTTTGAGAAATAGGGACCTGCTTTCTTATCATTCAATGTTTTCAGAAACTGTTTATTTCCAGTAGAGGTAATCAACACGTTATTCTGCCACTCTGGCATTCATAAAGACCTTTGAGTTTGTGATTGCTATGTGAAATCTCGCCTTTATCAAATAAATAATATAATATTCCACTTCCAATGTGTGTATTAATATTTTTTTCACTCTTCCAAAGATGTCCATACGAATATAGAAAAAAAATCACTTGAATGTCATTAAATTAGCCCTGAAGTCACTTTATGTTTGAAATGTTAACATTTTAATATTAAATTCAAATTAAGTAACAACAACATTTCAAATTTGTTATAGTCGCAAGCTGTATAACAGTTGTATATATACTAGTCATATATGAAAGCACTAGTATAAATTACTGGCTTTCAAAGTAAAAGCAGTCAACTGCTTACCACACACTGAGTTCTCATGTGTTTGTCTGCTGTGTAATGCATCTGTAATACTCAAATCAGCTAGAGTGACAGCCTCAAAGACAGAGATAATGCATAATTGATGGTCTGATTAATTAGAGTCAAGGGAGGAAACAAAATAACAACCCCTTTGAATTTAATATACAGCAGGAGCATAGATTCTCAAATAGACAAATAAACTGCGTGATCCTCCACTAATGGATCTGCAAAGATTGTGCTGAGCTTTTCCCCTCTTTTAAACTTTTTTGAATTGTAAGTCTACTCTTTCAGAAAGCACCTGAAGCTAAAGATAATTCATTGAACATTGCACTACAGTGGATGGGTATACTGTAGATTAAGTCAGAACTTTGATCCAATCATGCATTAAAGCATAAAACTGGTACTTTATTTCGTTTCCATTGGAGAGAATCAAGAAACTCTGACAAATAAAAGGCAAAAGTAGCAATTGGATTCCAGTTTTTTTTAGTCTGTACCTAGCCATAATGCAGTTTATAGTAGAAGTACATTCTGAATGTTGGTAGTGCTTATATGGGCTCCTCTGTTTTTATGTTTCTGCTTTATTTTTGAGGTCCAGAAGTTGATTTTGGATTTAATTGAAAATAAAGAAACACCATCAGGGCAGAGCTGCTCACAGCTGAATTTATGTAAATGCCATCTGTGATGATCAGTGTGAGAAATAGAAATGCGGTAAATAAAATAAATAGCAAACTATTTGGATGTAGTAAGCATAATGTAGCATTTGAAATTAAATACATTTTGGAAGAAAATTAATCATATAAAGGGATTTTTTTCTGTTCTCAGGAGTAGCTGCACTAATTGTATTTGGACTATGCACATGTAACAATGATTTCTTTTCTATTATTTTCCACAGAGCAATAACCTTGGACAATCAGCTGGTGGTTCTCTCAACAGCTGCAGCCGATGCAGGAAGGTACTATGTGCAGGCAGTTAATGAAAAGAATGGGGAAAACAAGACAAGTCCGTCCATTTACCTGAGTATAGCAAGTAAGTAACTATAAACTTTAGCAAATGACACAAACAAGATGCTGATATTGACCATGGAACAGTGTCCAAAGTCTTAATTTGCTTGGAATTAAAGAAAAACCCAGTAATATTCTCCTGTCATGTGAAAACGCATTAGTATTTTTGTGTTTTTTCCTTTTTTTAACTCTAGCATTTTCATTGTTTTACTTGGTGTTGTAGTCACTAGCCCCTTTTTGTTTTCTTCTTGTTCTGGGTGTTTTTTCTAAGGCTTGATTCAAATTGAGAAAGTTTGGTTTCACAGAAAGCAGAACCCTTGTGGTTGGTAGAAACATAAAGCAGAGTTTATGAAAATCTCCATAAACTTGGAAGTAAATTGTGCACTTTATGCCACTGCAAGATATACAAAAAGGTTGTGGGAGGTATGAGTTACTCTAGTTTTGTGAATAACGTACTGTAGGCGGCTCTTTAATATTTATTGAAAGTTTTCATGTTACAAAATACAGTGTGGGATTACAAGTTTTGTTATTTTGGAATTGTCCTTCTTAATAACAGTGTTTGAAGTTAGAGGTTTGCTAAGACAGTGTACCGTATGTTTGTATATTACTGATTGTCTTGTTCATGTAATTATTCATCAGCTGTAAGCATTAAGGTGGTGCTAAGATGGGAATCAAACTCAACATGGTAGTCCAGTGCATTGCTTTGTTCACCCAAAATCAAACATATTTATTTTCAGTCTATTACTATTAATACAGAATAGATATGTACAGTAAGTGCACACAGTACCTAAATATTTAGGTAAATATTTATATATTAAAAACCAAGATATTCCACACAATATGTAATACAGAGGTATATTTAATTATACTGTTGAGGTTGTTTGGAAAACCAGTGTGTTTTCAAAAGTTGGTGACAGATGTCACCAAGATCTGCTGTCATCCTTAGTAAGAAGCACAGTTCTGATTATGCTTTTTAAGGCTGTGTGTAAATGTAGGGTTTTAAATTAAGCACCTTTAATTTGATGTTCCATTAAAGATTGTGCTTCTGCAGTTTTGCTTCACCTGTTTTTTTTTTGTGTTCATCCCTTCTGTCAACAGCTGACTTTCACAAAACTCCTGTTTCAGATCAGGTCTTTTAATATGTCTTTTTTTATAAATAGCCAGCAGCCATATCACTCTGCAACTCACAACTGGCAACCCACTGAAGCTAAGCAGATATGAGCCTGGTCAATACCTGGATGGGAGACCTCCTGGGAAAAACTAAGGTTGCTGCTGGAGGAGATGTTAGTGGGGCCAGTGGGGGACGCTCACCCTGCAGTCCATGTGGGTCCTAATGCCCCAGTATAGTGACAGGGAGACTATACTGTTAACGTTAGCTGTCCTTCGGATGAGATGTAAAACTGAGGTCCTGCCTCTCTGTGGTCATTAAAAATCCCAGGACATTTCTGGTAGAAGAGTAGGGGTGTAACCCCGGCGTCCCTTCCAAATCATGGCCTAATAATCCCCATCTACGAATTGGCTTCCTTACTCTGCTCTCCTCCCCACTGATAGCTGATGTGTTTTGGGCGTTCTGGCGCACTATGGCTGCCGTCGCATGATCCAGGTGGGGCTGCACATTGGTGGTGGTGGAGTGGATCTTTACCTGTAATTACCTGTAAAGTGCTTTGAGTGGAGTGTCCAGAAAAGTGCTATATAAGCGTAAGCAATTAAATACCTGGGGAAGGCGAATGAAAGAGGTAGGTGCCCTTTATAACCTAAAGCCTTGTTCTTTCAGTGTTCTGAATCACATCTTGTGCTAATATGTATTTCATTCCCTTTTCATCTGGACTTTTGATCATCACGTTTTCTGGCTTCGCCTGATAAATAATGTTGGGGCTCTAATGCAGCACATTGAAATTATATAATTTATGTTATCCTGTGTAGCTAGGCATGTTCACTTGTATTGATGGAAATGTGTGTGTGCGTATCCCCGTTTCACTTGTTGTTATTGTTAAAACTGTACATCCATAAATAATGAAACCTAGTAGCCTGTAACATTGAAAATGTCATATCATCTGTCAAGTTATTAAGGGGCCTTATGGATCATGAACCTGTTTGGTACAAAGCTGCAGTGGCACTTCGTTGAAACAAAAATACACAGTGTTCTGCTCTTTCAGTGCAGCCTGTTATGGTGAGGTATCAGAATGTGAAAGGTCTAAGCTTCTCTTTTCCGCTTAATACAGCTTGACTTGAAAGTTCCCAGTAAAAAGCATGACAGAGAGCAGGAGCTGAAATAATTTTTAAAGTGAAATTCTTGATATGATATACAAAGTGAGAAAAGTTGGAATTTAAGGAGCATTTCTCAAGGATACAGCATTGCATCGTGTGGATAGTTTGAGAATAATATAAGAAGTTTTCATGATATATTTGACTGCAAAGCTGAAAAAAAACAAGAGCTCTGGACTAATGATCGAAAATTATGTACTGTTTTACTTCCCCCATTTCTTCTGGAACATAAACAGGGAATCCTAAGGTAACATAAAATATCAGAAGCCAGGTTTAAGAAGAGGTGACACTAAGCTTGTTACGGAAGGTGACATCACTGTCTTGAAACCTGGATTGTGCCAAATTCTCCAATAGCACAAGACCTGCACTTTTTATGTAACAGAGTACTGTATTTTCTGAGCGTACAAGCAGACATGATTGAATCCAGACAGGGGCAGAGTGGAGATCCAACAGGTAGGGTGCAATAGTCTAAAGAGAAATATAGTCTGCTGAACATAAAGCTTCAGGGTGTTTTAGTGGAATTGTTTAACCACAATTGTATTTTTAATCAATAAATGATCCATGACAACAGTTCTTGGATGCACTTTGAATTATGAATATATTGATTTGTATCTTATAAGTGTTACTTTATGATTGCTGTTATTGGGATTAATGCTATAAATAATTATTGCCTCTTTTCAACATGTCCTCATTTATAGCCTACAAAATACAGTTCTCTTAATCTCAAAGGTTTATGTTATTATTAAATCTAAATATTATTTTAACTATTTAAAATGTAAGCACTTACCAATTTATAATTTTCTTTAGAACTAATAATGTCCATGATGCAATAAGATATGCAAATTTAATACATCCAGAAAGTACACACTTTTGGTCAAACCTGCTCGCCTTCATTTTTAACAAAGTCATGTCCGTGATTCCACTTTGGCATTTTGATGATTGACATATATGATTCAAGGCTTTAAGCAATTTTAATTTGAGAGTTAATATGAGAAACAAATGTAGTTATTATGTAGTTATCGTCTTATTACCTTTTTAAATAGAGACACTTCCAGCCTCTAGTCATACTGAGAAAGCAAGCAGTAGATCAATGTTAGAAACAAAACCTACACTGCTGATCTTGCTTTACTGTTGTTTTAGATTATTGTCTTTATTTAATTGAAGCTAAAACAGCACAACAGCACATCTTAAACCCCTGTGCTTGAACTGCATTTTTGCATTTTTATTCTTAAAGGCTTGACTGCAAATTAATGTTACAAAATAAGCATGAAACATTACAACTCTCTACTTGGATTCTTTATTACTTATTACTAACTTTTCCTATCTTTTTAATAAATTGTATGAAAATATAAATGTAAGTCTAAGAGTGATGTAGTCTCAACTTTAAAGTGGTAGAAAAGTATTTTGAATCCCATTCAAGTCTATAAGTTTGACTTGTGGGCACTGTAAATCATCTCAGGAACAAAATGCCAATAGCAATAATAACAGGAAACACAAATTATGCAATCTCCCACTTATGGACCCCATCAGCACTGTACAGACTTAGAATTAATTTCCTAAGTTATTTAAATTATTACTTTTTTAACTCAGCTCAGCTATCAAGCACAGTTATTTGAAATGTGCCTATTTTGCCACTCACGTGTCAAGAACAGACGCGTCTTATTGTAAAAATCAAGCTTACAAATAATTGTCTTGTTTACAAAGATCTTCTTGTTTAAACTTTATTAATAATATGCAGTGATATAATTTGGGGGTAATAAAGCCACCTTTTTTCTTAGCATTATTCAAAATCTAAAGCTTTTAAATATATTAATTTAGATACGTATCTATTTTGGTTTCAAGTTTTTATAGACATACAGTATTAGTACTTGAAACTGAAACTGTTGCCTGACAACAGGAACATCTTGTGATATTTGAACTTTCTTGAATAAAAGCCTTTAAAATACTGACATGATTCTATTGATATTTTTCTTATCTCCCTCCCATTCATTTCAGGCCATTACAAAGAATGATTAGTATTGAATTGCTGAGCAGAATACAATGTATAAAAATATTAATCTTAATGGACTTTCAAAAATAACATAAGATACAGTGGAATTCTAAATTTGAGATTCTTAGAAGAAAATAAGTATAATCTCAGTTTATATGGAAATACAGTATATAGAATATGTAGAAACTGCAGTTTTTGGGGGGTTAATCTTGGTACTTTAATTAAGTCTTTTAAGATTGAAACATTTAGATTGTGATTGTTTGCTTCAGCCTGTTTATAGCAACTGAGTCATTCTTATCTCCAAATAGCTCCTTGTCAGGTACAACAGAGATACAGTATATTTTCTTTCAAGTTCCTCAGGTTGCTGACATCACATTCTACATCCTGACAAAATGAAAAGTGTCTCCAGAAGCTAGTACAGTTAGGTACCCCAGCTTTTATCTGATGCTGCTACCGTTTCAGTAAACAAACCTTGTTGTAAATAAAGATTTGCAGTACAGAGACATTCCCATTGAGATGTCAAGCTCTCATTTGTGTATTACAAAAATAATAAATACAAAATTGATGGCAGTCAGCCTTGCTTCCCATGATAGACATTTGAAGGTAGAAAAAAAATCAGTATGAACCTTAACAATAAGTGCAAGCTTTCCTGGATTTTGCAGTATTTAGCTTAATTTCTGAGAAGTACATTTGGAATCAGTGGGGCAGTTATTCCTTTCAAGATTTTAGAGCATTGATTTGGGCCATTAGCTTAAATTGTAACCAGATCT